CTCAGAGGGCTTTTCCAACCTGGCTGATCCTGTAATTTTGTGATCCCTGCCTGGGAACTGGGATATTGGAATTGTTCAGGCCCCCCATACCTGATGTAGATGTACATGGGCTCAAAAGCCTCCCTGCCCGAGGCTGGCTCGATGCAGCCCGAGCCCTTCCCTCGCAGGAAGACCTTGGCCCCCGTCTCGATCTGGATGTGCTGCAGGTAGGAGCAGCCCGGCCCCTCCACCTTCTCCTTCACGTTGAAGGTGGGCACGGCGTGTTCCAGCCCCACAAACAGCTTGTCCTGCACGTAATGCATCTGCAGAGGAGCAGGGAAAGCTGATTATCTCGCTCACAATTAGGAAATCAGGGCAGAAGTCTCCTGTCTGATGAAGGAGGGTTCAGTGTGGGATGGCACAGTGAGCCCTGGGCTGCTCTGGAAGCAGGGCTGCTCTCCCCATCCCTTTGCTTTTAGGAGGCCACTGTCCCCTGAGTCTCACTCTCCAGACTCAGTCTCTTTAGTCCTCCAGATTTTAACAATACACAAGGGGGGCTGTTGATTTTTTTTTTTAATTTTTATTTATTTTTACTTTTAATTTTTATTTCAAAATAATTTTATTTTTTATTTAAATTTTTTATTATTTTTATTTTTAATATTTGTATTGTTATTATTTTTATTTTTAATTCTTATTTTACTTTTTATTTTGTTATTTTTATATTTAATTTTGGGTTTGATTTTTATTATTTCTATTTTTACTTTATTTTTAATAGTTTTATTTTTGATTCTTATTTTTAATCATTATTTTGTTATTTTTATATTTTGGATTTTTATTATTTTACTTTTAATAGTTTTATTTTTATTTTTTAATTCTTATTTTTAAATTTTATTTTGTTATTTTTATATTTTGGATTTTTATTATTTTTATTTTATTTTTAATAGTTTTACTTTTAATTCTTATTTTTAATTCTTATTTTTAAGTTTATTTTTATTATTTTTATTTTTATTTTTCATTTTAAATTTTGTAAATTGTTTTAATTTCTATATTTTTATTTTACTTCTAGTATTTATTTTTTACTTATTATTACTACTATTACTGTTATTATTGTTATTATTATTATTATTATGTGGTTTGTGCTGTGGATTTTGTGGGGTTTTTTTGGTTAGTTGGTTTTATTTTTTACAAACAGCACATGACAAGTGTACTGTGGAACAGCCAAACCTTGTCCCCGGTGCCATTCCATGAATCCCACCCCAAACCTCGTCCC